AAAATCAGTTGAAAAAGGCTTAACTCATCAGATGGATACAAATAGAAATACATCTAAAAAAAACACAGAGTGGACATGGACGGGTACTTGTACATCCCAACAATAAAATTACACTAAGTACTGATCTGAAAGTACTCGCAGTTACTGACAGCTTGTTCAAAGCCAATAACAACTAATAAACAAATCATGCATCTTAGACTAAATTATCAATCAGTACACATCCAACATCCAATGGATTTAGTATAAAGACGTCATAAACAGTCAGAGAAAAACATGACCTTGTGCAATGCCAAGATACAGGTATCGACAGATTGTAGAGCCATGAATGTGCATATGTATATAACAATAATATTTAGTTTGCTTTTAATTTATTGATAACAAAATCAATATTAATACCAATAAAAACAATAATCAATGATCTAAATACGGTGGTGAATTGGTATCCTTTTAGAATAAGTTTATTTAAAGGGCCGATAAGTTTACCCGGATCATTTCTAAATTTCCGGGCTCGGTAAACAACATCTCCGTAAAAATGAGGATGTGCTATCCCGTTTGAAATGAGTTTTCTACAAGTACAACTAAACTTCAAAACCAAATCTTCATATCTATGGAAGAATTTAGTAAAGGTTTTAAGTAATTTGTGGTAACGAAATCCCTGACTTAATAATTTACCAGTAATACATAGATTACGTCCATTAAAATCCAAAACGTCAAAACAGACACAGGCATAGCAAACGAGTTGTGATATATAAACACCGTTAGATGGTGCCAAAGGAACATCCCCATCCAAAAAAGGAAACTTAACAATAGGGAACGAAAAATCGTCCCTTTTGTCGTAAATTTTAGTGTAGAGTTTCCCGTGTAAAACAGAAATATCTAAATCTAGGAAAGGACAGTTATTACCGTTTATAATTGATTTAAAGTAAGACTACTCTAGATAAAAAGTTTAGATGCCTGTAACTGTGTATTTCATTTATGTGTATTTTTTTGTTTATGTTGTTTTATGTATCCGTTTTTATTCTGTAGTTAGTCACCACTTCGGTGTTATCATGTATATCTATTATATAGTCATTTTTATAAATTTACTGTTTGCAAAAGTATGAATTATTCTAAATACTAAGGATTTTCTTATCCCAGACATATAACCTTGGCCGTATTTGGCACAACTTTTTGGAACTTTTGGTCCTCAATGCTCTTCAACTTTGTACTTGTGTTGGCTTTTGAACTTTTTTGATCTGAGCGTCACTGGTTAGTCTTGTGTGGACGAAACGCGCGTCTTGCGTATTAAATTTTAAACCTGGTACCTTTTGTTAGCTATTATTCGTATGTTTCTCTGTCCTATATGTTCTCCAATTTATTTGTATTGTAGTCCTGTCATGTAATGTTGTCATTGTGATGCTATATTTAACATTGCCATAAAAGCGAGATGTTTGGCTAGCCACAAAACCAGGTTCAACCCTCCATTTTTTTCTTAAAATGTCCTGTACCAAGTCAGGAAAATGGCCATTGTTATATTATAGTTCGTTTCTGTGTGTGTTACATTTTAATGTTGTGTTTCTGTTGTGTCGTAGTTCTCCTCTTATATTTGTTTCCCTCAGTTTTAGTTTGTAACCCGGATTTGTTTTTTTCTCAATCGATTTATGAATTTCGAACAGCGGTATACTACTGTTGCCTTTATTTATACAGATGAACTTGAGTATGTCTGTACATATCATCAATTTCCATTTAGGAAAAAATATACAAAGATCTTGAATTGATGGAACAAACTTTGCAGTAGAAAGGGAGAGTCAAAATTAACTGATAAAAAAACATTAAAGTTCGTATATAGGAAATTTCTGTCAAAGTTTTCATGAGATCATTTTAAATAAAGCGATCATCTGACCAAATATGTGAAAATTTGTGAAAAAAAGAAGAAAAAAAACAACTAAGATGTTATCCTATGCTTTAAACTTTAAAAGCAGAAAATAAACATTATTGACACTATGAAATGAAATTTAAAAAAAAAATGTTCATTTGTTTTCAAGTTTGAAGTTCCGTGTACTATTTATCTTTTTAGCTTCATAACGGACATAATCTTGAGTATATTATTGTTTTCACAGATATATTGGTACTAAAATAGGAACCATCACCGTCTACCCCTAATTTCTCTTAATTCGCCCCTTCAACTGATTTCGCTGCCAATTTAAGATATCATACTCGTATATATCAAAGATTACACCGTTCTTAATAAATCAAGGTAAATAAATAATACAGGAGCCCTAAGGATTGTTCTTCAATTTTTATTATATTTTCAGTTTAAATACTATTTCCGAAATAAAAAAAATACAATGCCTTTGAATGACGACACAACATGTTCCAAACGTAAACAATCTGATTGTTGTAGAAATTGGTTTTAAATAAAATCAATCATAAGTATATTCTTATAGAATAAAAGACAAATATTCTTAAATATTTTGGAAATGAGAAATTTACCTTTAATCCTTATTTGGTAATCCCTTTATCCTTTCACCCTGTTCTTATTAAAATTGAAGGTTCTTTTTTGGAAATTATAATCTCTAAATTTAGCTTGTATATAAACTACGTCTTTCCTAGAGAGAAAATTGTTATCCATGCTAATCATAAGTATATGATTACCTCTTTTCTTATGAAATAAAAGACAAATATCCTTAACTATTTTGGAAATGAGAAATTTACCTTTATTCCTTATTAGGTAATACCTTTATCCTTTCACTCTGTTATTATAGTTGAAGGTTCTTTTTAGAGATTATACTTCTAAATTTAGCTTGTTCATAAATTGCTTCTTTCCACGCTAATCATAACTATGCATACAACGAGTTGCAAAGTTCATCTATTGGCACAATTTATGCATTGTAGGTGTATTTGAAGGATAAAAGAAATGTCGAAAAACAATTGTTTGATCTTCAGATATCTAACACAGTGTATGTTTTATGTTTTAGTCTTAGATTTGTTTTAATTACCCTGCTGCATGTACAGCGCCTTAGAGTAATTTTTATTTTTTATATAGGGTGCTTTATAAATTATTCATTATTATTATTATTATTATTTAACTGTGTAACTTGAAGTATACTTACCTGCAGATGTACATTGCATTACTTTCGAAATTATGAATAAAACAGTGCATTACTTTCGTGATATCTGATTAAAATTGCATAAAATTACTTTTCTTTATCTTATATTTGTTATGCAGCTTCGATCTGAAATATCTGGAAAAATTCGAATACAACCGTTGCATAGAAACTGTCTTATGAGCTTATTGTGTAAATGTAAGTTCTATGTGTTCAGGTTAAGAAAACCAAACGTTTAAAAAAAACTATCATTTCAAAAATTAAGGCATCTTTTTTCAACATTCGTAAGTGAAGGTCTAAACTATTGTACATGTCAATACCATCTCCTCGATTTATTTGATGGGTTCTAATAAAAGTGGTTAAAAAAGTCCCTGTACATTCATGTTAGTGACATATTATGATGATGTCAAAGTGTGACATGTTAAAACAATAATGATAATATTTTATGGTTTCATGGTTTCTATTTTTGTTTGTATCATTTTTGCTATTACCAAAACATTTTCTACTGAATTTATAATCGACAGTGTCTTAGCAGAGGATGTGTAAACGCTGACAATTTCCATTTCAAAAGAAGAACATTTGTCAACACAGTGTGAGTGTCAGTTCAAAACAAAACTTTGCTACCAGGGTGATAACTTCAATGTTTTCATTGTGAACTCGCCTTTTTTTTATGTAGAAACACTCTGGCAAAAACCGCATAGTGAATATATATAGACAATTGAAAGATACTGACTTGGCAAATCAATAATATAAGAATAAGGCTAAGAAACGGGGTAAGTGCAAGGCTCTGTCGAGATTTTATCTGTTTCGTGCCGAATCCATGTATTGTTATCATGATGTAACCAATACAATTAATTTCTTACAAAGCACTATGTTCCCACTATACTGCAATCTGACACAAATGTTATGTCATATTAACATATTATGTCTGTTTTGGTTGCTCACCAAATTTTGTGAATATAACGGAGCTATGAACAACTGTCATAAGAGTTTTAGGTACGATGCAGTCCGGTAAATCCGCCCACATAAGGCTTTGATCGTATGTATTTCTGCTTAATTATATACAAATTGTATCAAATTTAATATAAATCGATTCACTGACAAATCAACTTTGAGTAGTTTATCTCATTTCCCAAAAAATATCTGAAATAAATTTTAAAATCAACAAAACAAGTGGGTCATCCGTGTTTTTATCGGAAATGTGTTTGTCCGGTAATTCCGCCCATGCGCAGTAAATATGTATGGTGGGTCAGTTTATCACAAAATTGTGAAAGGAAAAGGTGTTCTATTTATTAATAGACCACTTATAGCGAGATTCCAGATAATCAAAAAAATAATTTCAAGTCAGAAATGAGTTTTGTAAGCAATAATCTGATTATATTTAGCTTTATGAACTGTATTAAATATATATCACTTGAAATTTTTCGTAATAAAGGATTTTTCTTTAAAATTTGACATGCAGTGATGATATGTACAGTTTCTATGAATAAAATAGCAGACGAAATATTCATGGAAGTGACAATTACGGAAGAAATTGGAGTGGGCGGGTTTACCGGACGGGCGGAATTACCGGACACTACTGTAGCTGTAAAACCAAGTTTAAGCCACCATTTTCTTCGGAAAATGCCTGTACTAAGGTTGTTTCCATTCGTCCCGTTGGTTGATAAAGTCTAACGTTTGATATTGTGAGTTTTTACAGATTTTCTCCCTTTTTTTTTGAATTTATATTTTTGTTATACCTTTTTACACCAATTAAGTTGTTTTTTGGGAATTTTTTTTTTTTCAAAACTACTTTTAAAATTTTCCCTCTGACTTTGCTGGAGTCAAACTCAACATGTATCTTGTTCAAACCAGTCAGAATAATGATTGTCCCTGATTACAGAATAAAATATATACCATAAGGAAAAAACGTAATAATTTATACAATTTTATTTACAAATAAGAACAAGAACAACATTTTTGGCTCATTTTTTGTAGGAAACGGTGACCACCTCGCGGAAGTATGTACTGTAACCTTTCAATACGAATGATAGCGGTAATTGTGGTTTAGTGCTTTATAAGTTCAGTGACTGTATATAACATGAATTTATACAACGCATTTTGACTGCTCAAATATAACGATTGCAGTATAAATCTCATAGTTGATAAAGTGCAACAAAATTCGTGTTCCCTATAAGGATTTCTCTGGTAGAGAATAACTGCTTACAAACAAGCTAAGTAATCAATGGTTCTTAATAGTAAAAATTGAGTCACCTCCATTTATGGACCCTCGCGATAAATTTGACCTTGAAGGAAAATCTGTATTCACCTAAGCAACTATTCCATTCACCTTTCCTCATTTATGATCTAAAATCGAATACGACAATAACCAGCATTTACAACGAGGCAATTTGACTGACGATACATGCTTTAAGGGACATAAGTACGCTCCCGGAGCACTTTATTAACTGAATTTCGTTTTGCACAAGGTTGAGTTGCGTGTTACATATTTAAAATGGTTTTTATTTAGTACTAATCTATCGGATTGGCCAATTAATGTTTCTGTGGTGTCTTAACGCCTGCATCCCTTTCTGGAGATGTGGCTTACTTTTAAACCGAAATAAAGGCAGAAATTACATTTTTAGTTGAAGACTGAATCGATTGTATTTACTGAATCAATCATTATCAATTCGTGCATTTGACATTTGAAATGTTAAAATATGATTGTCGTTCTCTTAAATGCATATATGTACCATAGTATATAATTACTCCGTTATATAAGGTGTCGTTACATGTTCAAAATGTAATCTATCTTTCATATCAGACACAAATAAATGCGCACACCCACAATCAAAGTTATAACAAAAATTCACGAATTATTAGTTCTCTTATTTATACATGGCAATAACAAATTCCAGTATATTTCAATAATGGTATCAAAAAGAAATAAAATATGTTCCGTGTCGTTATTGCTTTAAACAACATTTGCAGAATGACCGTTTGAATGTACGATTGAGTGCATTGGTGTAGTTGCGGTATGTCCAGATCCCACTTTGTCGTCGGAGGCTTTAGTACTTGGTTCTGCCTTCTCACGTTTTCTACGCATTATGATGATAAAAACTATTCCATTCAAAATACCACCCACGTTGGAAAATGTTGTCACAAAATTGAATAAAAGAAATGGAACATCATCAACCAACTGCCAAACGCCATATAACGCCATTGCCCACCATTGAACAAAGAATGCTGTGACAAATAATGACATTGTTTTCGCAGCTTTATGTGAAGCTCTTAAAACTCTAGAGGACTTTCCGAGTGAATCTTTAATTTCTTTGGCTTCTTTGTAGATCCTTAACCAACTTAAAATGTAAAGAATCGTGTTTATGACCAAAACCAGCAAAAGTGGTACTGTTGTGAAGAAAACACCCGTCCATTTCCCCTTAACTCCATCAAAATAACAGCTAAAAAGAAAATGAGAATATTTTTTATTATACATTTTAAACAAACGGAATCATAACATTGAAGATTGTAGGTCCATGTACGAAATGCGAACCGAAACATTGCTGATTGGTGTTTGGCAACCAATAAATTAATATAGTGGTGTTAATTGTGGCAGCACAAAAAAGCAACGTTAATCATAGATATCCAGGGAGAATATCTAATAAAATATATATAAATGTTAGTATTAGGATATCTAATTATTAACACACAGGGAAACTTAGCTCAATGCTGTAAGCTAAGTAAATTGTTAAACAGCATTTAGTGCAATAAAGATGATTTAATTGTGTTTAAAAAAACAAAAAAACAAAAAAAGCAACGTTTTATCGGTTCACAAGGAACATAAATCAACCATTTTATTGTTTCGCATACACCCATTAACTGATTTCTGTCTCACATGTTCTCTTCATTGGATATGAAAGTATTTAAGTTTATGTATTCCATTAATATTGCTGAAGATCTCTAAAGAATGAAATTGTGTAATAATATAAATCTCTAACGTCATTCAAATTAAAAAAAAATTTCAAATAATTTTTAAAAATTGATATTTTTTCTTCATAAAAGCGATCCAGACGCAGCAAAAAGATACGTGTGACTGATTCGGTAAAATTAAGAAAATACATACAATGATCCATTTGGTCCAAGCTGTCCAAAGGCACCTGCAATGAGTCCCCCTAGTGCTGGAGCACCAAATATGTAGACCAACAGTCGGTAGTCGCATTTTCCAAAATATAAATGCTTACGGTAGAAAACTAATATAAAAACATTAATGGCGACAATATTCACCATCAAATTTTGTGCTGTTATGAACTCAGTCAGCATGAATCCATAAAATGCACAAAGCGATTTTGGTCTTGGTAATGTTTTTGTTACAGCAATGTGCAAATGGTCAGTAAAATGTGCAACGTTAAAAAGAGCGTCACACAGTGCCATGTATACTACAAATCTCTCGCTTTTTGTCCACTGGAAAAAAGTTGAATAATGTTGATGATAGAAAGAATATCCAATAATTGTCAACGCGCATATAAAACTTATGCAAATACATATCAGCGCTGGCACGTGAATGTTATAAAATGTTCCCTCTGCTATTCCGTACACGGCTATATCATAGCCATCAACTGGTGCTTTAACTTCCCCAATAGAGGGTCTTGTAGAATTCTCAACGAAAAAGCTTGTCATGTTGGACATTCTTTCTACTTAACTGATTTTTTTCACACTTCAAATGAATAGTATCATCGTAAAAAGGACAATTATCCGGCGGAAGGAACCCTATATGAACATCCTATAAGTAATTTACATCTTTTTTTATCAGCTTTTACAATAACAATAAATGTTATTCACTATATGTGGTTAAATTGTCACGTGGTTAAATTGTCACGACATCTTCAAGTGTGAAAGGACAAAGATGCGTTTTCATTTTTGTTTTTGTTTGGTTCATTTCCTGTAAACAAAAAAGTAAAAAATGATGATACAACCGAAAAGTGAAACCCTTGTCGTCATTAAGTGTTCCACACATTGTGCAAATGTCTGTACAAAAAGAAAGATATTAAAAATGTATTAAGCTTTCAGTTTATTTACTTTTACCTGAATTAATTTAAATATATCATGTTGAAAATGCTTCTATGTATTTCGGATCCCCTGAATGTCGGTATTCAACGTAACTTGATGGATAATAAAAATCACATCGTACACCCTTATTCGTTAATATTTTCTCTGGTTTGTATCGATGCTGGTAGAATAGGCGGTAGCAACCGCGTAGTGGCAATTTGTTTGGTATGGCATGATTTAAATGATACATTTTCGTTGTAAATTTCGGTTTGAAAATTTTCTAAATTAGTTAAAAAGAAACAAGCCGCGTACGTAAATAAAATAGGAATCATAAGTTTAAACCTTGTCTCTTTCATCTCGCAATTATTTAAAGTATAATTGGCTGTTCTTAATTGTTTTGATGTCATGTTTTTTACAATTAATTACTTATTCTTACATTTGCATGTTCAAATTTAGCATGGATGTTGTGATTCGTAGAAAAGGGTAATCATTTTAGTGTATCCGTGATTTTAGTTGTATAAACTGCAAAACACTAAAAAGCCATTTTACGCTGCACAGACCATACGATTTTCTTAAGGCATGTTTAACCAATACGATTGCCATCTATTCTTTCATTTTAAAACATGTCCAGGTGTGCGTTCTTTTGATTCATTTAACTCCTTAACTGAGCGCATTTGAATATTTAGCCGCTGCATTTTATGTTCTTAATATCAAGGTTGTGTCATATATTCCAGTTATAGCAGTTTTCCTTTCGACTTATTGGTTTTGAATGCCCCTTTGGCATATTCCGACCTTTTTTTTTTATCTTAAAACTAACATTACACTTAACACAAACTAATATATTCACTGAAAATAATACATCGATAGGTGATCATGAAATCAGTGGAATTGTTTCCCCTTATACATTAGAACTCTCTTTAATAAACTATATGTTTTCAAATACCAAATGTTTCTAGTTTTCTGGATTGTTAATCATATGTTTCATTTTGATAATGATAAAGAAAAATACCAAAACGATAAAGTTGTTTATTTCCATCCAATCTACTTCAACTAAAAATATTAAGAAGAGCTTTCCTTATTGACCTTTTAATAAATTTACACAACACATCATACTGATTTTTAAAATATTAAAAAGGAGGAAAGAAACACATTAGAAAGCTAGATTTTACGAAGTGGTAAAAAGAATAAAATACTAGAATAAAGAAATGGTTAAACGGTTCTCGCAAACATTGTTTAACCCTGTCATATTCTGTATGTGCCATTCTCGAGTTTTAAGAGCCTGTAATTCAGTACTGTAAATTCAGAAATTATTGCGGGCATTTATTATTGCGATTTTTCAAAAATGGACAAGAATGCGAGTTTAATTAATGCGATTTCAGAACAATCTAGGTTTAGATCAACGTTTTATTTATCAAAATGCGAGTTCTTATTATTGCGATACTATTCGAGTCGCATTATTCGCATTAATAAAAACCTCGCAATAATTTCTGAATTTACAGTAGTTGTTTTTTTTCTCTTTCTCTCTTTTCATGTATGTCATAATAATGTTTCGTTGATGGTTTACGCATATAACAGGCCGTTTGTTTTATCGTTTGAATTGTTTTACATTTGATCATGCCTTTGGCCTTTTATAGCTTACTATACTGTATCATAATGGGTTTTGCTAATTTCGGAGGCCGTACGGTGACTTAAATTGTTATCTTCTTCCTAAAATTTCTTCCTAACAGGCCTTTGTCAAGATTTGTACATTTTTTTAAGGTCCCCCATATAAGGACGGAGTGAAAACTTGCTAGAAAGTGTTCATCAAGTCTGAGTTCACATAAGGTCCTAAGTTAAAACAAAAAATCAGAAAGCTTGAAGGTCATGATAACAAAAACCATGAAGTGGCCAAATGTATATCATTCAGAAAAAAAGCCAAATGAGCTGCAAAATTATGAGAAGTTTAATCGGCTGTTTACAAAATAATAAGGAAGATAGAGGTGAACGAAAAAGTAATGGCTATATATATATAAAGCCGTTATCCACTCCCCGGAGGACAATATATTTATCCTCTAAAGATGGTTGCGATTTTTTTTAATCCAAAAGGGTGCAATGTATTAATCTATTTTTTGTGTACTTAAAAAAAAAATAAAACAATGCTCAAATAGCGGTTTGTGCTACAAATCCCGTCAGTCTGGAGAAGAATAGAAACGATGACATTAGTCATTTAAGTATCTTGCAGAACATCAAATTCTGTAATCACATTATAAAAAAGATAGCTTATCTGCATGATATTTCATTTTATAATTATGAATATTTTTATCCTTATTGCTTCATTGCAAAAAACACACAATACGTTGCATATCATTGCAGATTTTATTTTCAGTCCTCAATTTACCAAAAAGGAAAATAAAGACTATTGAGAACATTGGTAGATATGTTACGTTACAAAAGTAATTCTATCGATTCGACGAAAAGTGTGCGTGAATGCTCATACCTCAATGCTCTTCAACTTCGTACTTTCTTTGGCCTGATTAATGTTTTTGATTCAAGCGTCACTGGCGAGTCTTTTGTAGACGAAACGCGAGTATGGCGTACTAAGGTTTAAGCCTGATATCTATGGTGAGTTAATATACATTGCATTACGCATTGAATAAAGCAACAGCATGGACTTTTTTAAACGATTTATTAAATGAAAAATACATAAGGTTTACATGTAACATATATAATAATCCTTTATTGTTAGATAAGTAAAACATGATACTTGTGATAAATACAAATAATTTTATCTAACAACAAAAAACAAACTGATTTGAATACGTATATATATATACAAGCAAAAATAACTAAGAGTCCCCTGTCCTCAGCTCTAATGACTGTTTTATAAAGGAACCTGTTTTTTTTTACTTGGTTTATATATGAAGGATTTAGCGGGAATACTAGTTTTTCAGTATCAGATAGAGTTGGGAATATAGGATTATCTATTGCGATGTCATTAAAAAGTTTAATACGTAATATTCTATTATTTTGACACAAAAAATATTTGACATTACAACAGACCAAACTAACAACCAACATTCGCCTCCTTCAAAATGCAGGGTCCGACCACACAGTATGGGTTTTTTTCATTGTTGAAGGCCGTACGGTTGCCTATAATTGCTTACATCCACTTCATTTGAACTTTGGTGGATAGTTGTCTCATTTGCAATCATACCACATCTCCTTATTTTTGTCATATTTTTTTTTTGCTTTACATTCATGATTTTGTCCCAATTTTTTTATGTTCTCAAAGGACATATAAACCCGATAATTCATATATAAGCACCTCGTTTATTTCATTCAAAAAACTGCGTTAGGAAGGAGAAACTTCTTTATTTTAGATTCTCAAGATTTATTGCGGTCTTTTGATTTTTCAATATTTGTTAAAACATACTCATCAATTAATCTAATATATCAGAATAATATTTCAGACAAATATTTTCAGAATATTTCAATTTCGATTTTCATTCAGTTAAACATTTCTTTCTTTCAAAACAGTTCATTGAAAAATCCAAAGACTTCTTTTTCCACTTCAAAAATACCGAATTTCAAAAAGCTAATATACTATCCAAAGCAAGAATAATAACACATTCATATCATTCCATGTTTATATATCGTATACATTCTTTTAAAATTTTTAAAGGTTATAAACGAGCATACCAATTCAGAAGTGCACTTGTTTGTCATTTATTACAAACTAAATTGTATTTCTTCAAGCTCCAAGGATCTGCCTCTGTTATCTAGTGGAAGCGTCAGAACCTCGAGAGTGAAAGGATGTGGGTAAGATACCTAACAAGGTCAAAACAAATATTTGAAATTGATGTTTGCTGAATTTCTACCAAACACACGGCATTTAGAAGTTATAACAAGACTAATCGGCTCGCAGTCAGAATAATGTGTCCGGGTAGGATAACATGTCTTCTTGCGGACCGTCACTACAAGAAAAAGAGTTGAACATCCGGATACATACGTCGATGTAGTCAAGATATCGTCCAGGTGTGCATACAATATTTGTCACTAGGCGTTAAACACGTATTCATCATTATTCAAGTTTATCATATTCAACCTACCTGACCAAGAAATTATTCTTTCCTTTCTTAAATTAAGTTTTTGACCTAAACCAAATTTCTTGTTATTCTTCATGCCCCTCATGAATATGCATGATATTTTTACCACTGACAGTTGAGCGAACAACGATCAAATAAAATCTTGTGTTTTTTAATGACCAAAACTTTCTTGGAAGATCCTTGGAAGACTGGATTTATTAACCATATTCGAATTCATTTTCAGTACCAGTACAACATGATATATGTAAAAAGATAGTATACTGTTGTCTACCATTTTACTATACTTTTTTTTTCTTGTTCTTGTTTCTGAAGTCGTACAAATGAATTTTAGATCTTCCCGGCAATATATGTATATTGTTTATATACCCGAAAAAGACAAGGCAAAACCCAAAAGGTCAGTGCTCGTAAAATCTCTAGTTTAATCCAACGGACAATTTTATAAACAACAGTGAAGCTTATATGATAATATAAAATAAGAAAAGATGATGCAATAGGCGGCATAACAGGAATTGGTGGCAACCGTCTCCACCATGACACCACGCACACACAAACCGCACACACATACATTTTATTCAAATCTTTCACAAAGATGCTT